TTGTGTGTGTGTGTGTGTGTGAAATGCCCTCTCCCATCTCTTCATGCTTGCTTGCTTGGAGGTCACAATCAGCAACCTCGTGCGCCCCTTGCCCCCCTGTCCCCACTCGGGACCCCCCCTCTCTCTTCTGCGTTCTCCCTTCGCTGGTTTGCGTTGCACACGTCGTCCATCGTGTGTGTTAGCATCCACACATCGCTCTTTCCGCTTTCGTTCGATTCCTGTCATGTATTGTAGGTTCGGTTGTTGTGATTGTTGCTGCTGCACTGCGTGCGATGACGCTGGCATGAGTTGTTGCACGCTGTCCTTCTCTTCTCTCGACTCGATGTTTGCAAGCATCGTCGCCCCAACAGTAAACGTGTTAGAAGTAGCTTGCTTGCTTGTATTCCAGATTGCACATCCACATGCGCGCGCCACATTTGTTCGAGTGTGACTGCACAGTGGTGTGTTGCTTATGGCGACGTGACAGCGAGATGCACTCGCAGAGCATGCACAACCTGCACACACACACACACACACATGTCCGCCTTCAAGAAAGCACAACAACAGGTGCGCACACTGATTGGTGCACAAACGACACGATTGAAACAAAATAGAACAGAACAACGCTTGTCTGCAGCAAACTGATCAGCAAACGAACGCAAGCAGGCAACCATGCATCCCACACCCACCCACGTGCACATGCTGCCACCAACGCGACACGAAGCATGCACACACGCTGCCTGATTTGGCCTAAAGACTGCTGCCGAGGCGATCCATCTCTTCGAGAACAAAGTCCATATCGCCCGTCGTCACCTGAAACCAGCGTGGCATGATGTGAGGGAGGTGAGGACTTGCGCACATTGGTGTGCGGTCGTGGTGCTGAGGGTGGAGGGGTTGTGTGTGTCTGTGTCTGTGTCTGTGTCTGTGTCTGTGTCTGTGTCTGTGTCTGTGTCTGTGTCTGTGTCTGTGTCTGTGTCTGTGTCTGTGTCTGTGTCTGTGTGTGTCTGTGTGTGTCTGTGTCTGTGTGTGTCTGTGTGTGTCTGTGTCTGTGTGTGTCTGTGTCTCACGGTGGTGTTGTTGATGATGAGGCGGAAGAAGTGCGGAAGACCGTGATCGCCGAGAGGATTGATGTTCACCAGCATCGTGCCCGCCTCCTGCATCCGCCTGGTGTGCAGATGGGCGATGTGTGGACAAGCGCACGTGTGCACGTGTGCATGTGTGCAGTTGAGTGAAGCAACTCACAACAAGGGCAACGGGACAATAAAGCAAGACAGGACGGAATATGTGGCGGGAACAGAGTGATGGTGCACACTGCTTTCGCCGACGGCCACAAACAAACAACATCCACGCTGACAACTACAAGACACCCTCCCCCAACACTTGTCGCCACCGCCAAAGCAGGAGCAATTCAAGCTGCAGTGAAGGCAATGGCTGGACCTGCAAAGCGTGCTGGTGACGGTTCCGAGCTTGGGGTACACGGACGTCAAGTCCTCTGTTGAAGCAAACACAAGGGAAAGAGAGGAGAGGGGGGAATGTGTGTGTGTGTGAGGTGTGTGTGTGAGGTGTGTGTAAGAGTGAGAGCGAGAGAGACACAGGAGAGAAGAGGTGCAAGAGCACAACGCAATCATGTGTTGTCCCATGCGTGATAGTATGAATGGTCATTGAGATGGTATGAGGGATCATGATGCTGTGACAGCACCTGTGTCGCGGAGGGAAGGCGGCAGGTACCAGAAGCACACGTTGGTGTACATGGGATCCTCAACAAGCTTGAAGCGAGGGTCAGCCTTGATGCGCGCAACCATGTAGTCAACAATGTCAAGCGCCTTCTCAATGCGGTCACGGAAACCTAGTGTGTGTGTGTGCGTGTGAGTGTGTGCGTGTGAGTGTGTGCGTGTGTGTGTGTGTGTGTGCGTGTGAGTGTGTGTGTATGTGTGTGTGTGTGTGTGTGTGTGTGTGTGTGTGTGTGTGTGTGTGTGTGTGTGTGTGTGTGTGGGTGTGTGTGTGTGTGTGTGTGTGTGTGTGTGTGTGTGTGTGTGTGTGTGTGTGTGTGTGTGTGTGTGTGTGTGTGTGTGTGTGTGGGTGGGTGGGTGTGCGTGGGTGGGTGGGCACGTGAGTGTACCAAAGCAACAAGCAAATAGACTCAGAACCAAAGGGATGGATGCCTTGACCTCACCCTGAGTGCCGTGTCGGAGCCAGGCAAACCACATCTTGATGCTGTCTGCGCGGCGCCCGCACTGCAGTGTCATGTCCCCGAGGTCATACGACACTTGTTCGTGCCTGCAGGCACGCAAACGCCAAAACAAGATGGGTGAGGTGAAGCGAGGCGAGGTGAGGTGTGCAGCAGAGCAATATGCACGTGGCAATCACCTTCACTTGCTGCACACACACACACACACAACCCACACAACGCACAATGCACAACCACAAGCGCGGAACGCACGAGTGGAAGAGGTAGTCTGCGGAGGAGCTGTTTGCGGCGTGGAAAAGGCCCTGGTGCTTCTGCGTCATCACAGCGGCTGCAAAGATCGGCATGCCAAGACTCTGCCCATCATGCACGCACGCACACACACACATTTACACACATCCACCCTTTCGGTTATGGCAAGGCTTGTGCATTTGTGTCAAGCAAGCTGGATCAAGATTACGGACACAGCAACAACACAGACACGCAAACAACGCACATGAATGCACACACACACACATACACACACATATGAGCATTCATGTACACACCTTGTGGCCGTCCCATGTGCAGGAGTCTGCGAGCTCGAGCCCAGCTGTTGTCTGCTCCATGCGTGGTGTGAACTTGCTCGCAATGCCCCACGCAGCGTCAACGTGCATCCACACGTTGTACTTGTCGCACACCTGCCGGATCTCAACAAAAGGGTCAAACCCACCTGCAGCGCAGAGTTTGTATGTGCGTGTGTATGCATAATGTGCGTGAGAGGCAGGAGGCCTTTATCGAATGCAATAGCATTGATATACACACATCACACACGCATGCACATCACGCGCATGCACACACACGCACCCATGACGGTTGAGCCAGCGCTGGTGCTGACGAAGAACGGCTTCTTGCCCTCCGCCACGGCCTTCTCAAGTGCTGCATCAAGCTCGCTCACAATCATGCGCCCTGCGCGAGCAGATTGAAGTGAGGGGGGAAGCATGTTCAGGTGAGGTGAGTGTGGTGAAGTGAGTGTGGTGAAGTGAGGGGGGAAGCATGTTGAGGTGAGGTGAGTGTGGCAAGAAAGCAGAAGGACACCAGGGAGTTGAGAGAGATGAAGAGAGATGAAGAGGCAAGTTCGTATGATACACATATACACACGGAGTGTGGAATACCTTTGCGATCGCACTTGACGCCCACAATGCCGTTCATCCCGATGCCAACCATCTGCACATACAGCAAGGCAAGAAGATGAGAGAGAACTCATGGCGGTGTGGTGAATGTGGTGGTATGATAAGTGACGTGTGTGCCGTGCGAAGCCTGCTTTCAACGCACACACACACACATGCATACATGCACGCGCGCACACACACACACGCACGCACGCACGCACGCACGCACGCACGCACGCACGCACATATGGCTCACCATTGCTGCGCGCTTGAGGGAGTAGTGGGCTTGCTCTGGGCAAAACGCAATGGGTTTGTCATCCTAAAGTTGAATGTGCATGTGCATGTGCGTGTGCGTGGGAAGGAACCAGGGAAGTGTTGAGGGAAGACAAGCAAAAAGGGGCGCGTGTGACACAACCAGCACGCACAATTCAGCTATACACACCCTCATACGCACACATACGCGCACACATACGCACACATACGCGCACACATACGCACACACATATGCACACACATACGCACACACATACGCACACACATGCACACACAGGGTCACGCACGGGCTTCCATCCGTCCATGCGGACGTGCGGGAAGGCGTGATGGCGGGCCGCGACCATGGCAACAAAGTTAGCAAACGAGCCGCCGGGAACAAGCATGCCTGGTGCACAATGAGGAGGCAGGATGGGGGTGAGGCAAGGTGCGCGATAGAGGTATGGGTGGGGCGACTGCTGAAGGTCACGACACGCTGTGTGAATGCGCGGGTTGAGATGAGGAAAGGGGGAAGCAATCGAATTCTTGTGCAGTCAAGCATGGGTGCGTGTTGACTGAACGCGCCTTCCATTGTTGCGTCGTCAAAGCCGACGACAGCGGCAACCTTCCGAAGCACTTCAAGCTGTGGACGCACGCATGAAACCACGAGGTTGGTCAACATTGGGATGATGTGGTGACATACGTCACGAGGTTGGCACATGAACAACAATGAACACACACACACCACACACACACACACACACACACACACACACACACACACACACACAAACCCAAGCTCAACGACGCCAAGGCCTCAACATCTGATATTGCTGCATGGCGGTGTCATGACGCTCGCACCTCCATGAGGGTGAAGACGGGCGCAACCGCATACGTGTACACGTTGGTGTTGACAACTGCAGTGAGGAACTCCGACACCTGGCCCACAGGGTCGCTGCCTGCGATGTGTGTGAACAGATAACGCATGCGCACGCGCGCGTGCACGCACATCATGATCATGTGTGTGAGTTGATGGCAGCGGATGTGGATGGGGTTGAAGACGACAGCTGACACACGGACATGGCTTGTGGCTGATGGCGTGTGTGCTTGCCTGCGTAGAGCTTGTCGAGGAAGCGGGGGTGGCCTGTGCGCACGCTGTACTTGAGAACGCGGTCAATCCGCTCCACAATCTGCAGGAACACAACGAATGTCGGGGTTTGGTAAGGCAGGGTGGGGGTTGTAGGTAAGACAAGGCAGTGTTAAGGCAGTGCCATTAGCCGTTGTGTTGGAGAGTGGTTGTAGAGTTTTGTGGAGTGGTGGGTTGGGGGCGCAGCACTGCAACAGTGTACGCATATACACAATCACACACACACAGAGCATGACTGGCCTCCGACTGCGCCACTCTGTCACTGCGTCACCACTGCCTCACCTCGTCCGTGCCCGTGCCTTCCTCCGGCAGCTCAATGCCCATCTTGGACTTCAGCTCCTCTGGTGGGACATACTCCACCACCTTCGACTGCACAACGACATGATCGGCAGTGATGAGTGAGTGAGACGATCAGGTAGATGGTGGTGTTGTGAGTGATGCATGCAAGGACACAGGGAGGCAAGATCTAGAGAGAGTAGTGCAAGTACCACGCGAACCGTGGGCACTGCCAGAACTTACGCCGTCGACGTCTGCGTTCTGGCGGATGTACTCCACGACGCGTGGCGTGACCTGCAGGTGGGCGATGTGGTGTGGCGAGACGGCGGGAGTTGCAGCGTGAGATTAAGAGGAAAGGGAAGGTTGGACATGCAGGATGGAAACATTGGCACTGCACACACATGTACAAACGCGCGCGCACACACACACACTCGCATGTACAAACGCACACACACACACGCACACACGCACACACGCACACACGCACACACATACACATGGACACAAACCTTTGCCAGGAGCTGCTCCAGCTCATCGGCCTGGTCAAGAACGGCTTGTCGCTTGCCCTCCATGTTGCGATTGCTCATCTTCGGTTCAACGTGTGTGATGTGACAATTCAAAAGACTGATGCTCTGCGTCTGAATTGCAGTGAACCAAAACAAAAAAAAATGGAAGATGTGGCTGTGTGAGCTGTGTGCGCCAGCTTGTTCTCTTTCCCTCATTGTGTGATGTGACGACAACGCGTCCACCAGTCACCCATCTGCTCGACACAGCACACAGCAGCACACAGCAACACGCAGCATCCTCACCATCACACATGCACACAGATGATCATTTCAGCAACATACACTCACAACCCACCGTGCACACTGCTGCTCTGTCCTGCGTTCGGCGAAATGGAAGATGATGACCGGGCAGATGACCTGCCCGATGTTTGTCTAGTACGACAGCATAAATTGGGGCCAGCGTTCACTCTCTCTGCTGTCTCCGCTACTGCTGTCTTCTGTTCTTGCTCAACTCCGCCCACCCCTCTCCATATCTACCACCTCTCTCTCCATATCCGCCCACGTACACCGCAGCGATGGCCTTCTACTCCTCTGGTCCCAACGAGGCGCTCGTCGTCTCAGGTGCGAAACCATGGCTTGCTTGACGCAGCAGGCTGCCCTTGCTGATTCTGTGTTTGTTTGTTTGTTTGTTAGTTAGTTTTGTTTGCTCGCCAATACGCTTCTTGCTTGTTCCTACTTGCTCTTTGCCTGTGCCTGCTTGTTGGTGCTTGTTGGTGCTTGTGGCAGTCCAGACCCGCCATGTTGACTCATCGCCCCCATCAACCCCACTTCCTTGCGTCTCGCGTCGATCGTAGGCCTGTGCCTGTCACGACCACGGCTGATTCCTGGTGGCCGCGTCTTTGTGTGGCCTTTTATTCAGAAGATCCAGCGGTCAGTGCTGTGCGGTGTCAAGTTGGTGTTTTGGCTCAGGGTGTTGACAGGCTGAAGGTTCCTGGACGTGTTTGGCTGATGGACGTGTTTGGTTGATGGATGTGTGTGTATGTGTGTATGTGTATGTGTATGTATATTTGGGTGCTCGACGTTGTTTGTCTGCGATTGGCGTTCATCTTTCGTCCCTTGGTGTGCTTTTGTTTTGTTTGTTGTGACGCCTGCTAATCGTGTTGTTTCATGCAGTCCACCACGTCTTTATCATGCATCTCAACAACTCACGCTACGACACCAATTTGCGTGCTGCACTGGCTGATGGTGCGCCGCTACAACGCAACCACCCTTGCATCAATCGTCTGCACCAACAGCATCAGCCTCAACCTGATGACTCTGACCGTTGAGTCGCCCAAGATTTACACCGCAATGGGCGTGCCCATCAGCGTCCAGGGCATGGCTCAGGTATGTGTGTGTGTGTGTGTGTGTGTGTGTGTGTGTGTGTGTGTGTGTGTGTGTGTGTGTGTGTGTGTGGGTCTGTGTGGGTCTGTGTGGGTCTGTGTGGGTGTGTGTGCTTCAACAGCCTTTTTCCACCAAATTGCGTTGTCGGGTGTTGCTGGCTTTTGCTTTGGATGCTATGAGCTTGTTTTGCGCTGGGGGTGGATGCACTGTGCTCCACTTGGCTGCGTTTTCGTTTGCTGTTGGGTCACGACGCCTGTGTTGTCTGCAACACCAACCAGGTGAAAATCGAAAGCACGAAGGAAGAGATGTTGGCGCATGCGTGCCAGCAGTTCCTCGGCAAAACAGAGCAGCAGGTCAAATCCGTCATCATGGAGACCCTCGAAGGCCACCAGCGCGCCATCATGGGTACGAATGTGTGTGTGTGTGTGTGTGTCTGTCTGTCTGTCTGTCTGTGTCTGTATGTTTGTGCGTGTGAAGGTGTGCATGCAACGATTATGACCTTCTCCGCAACTCTCCTTCACTCCCTCACACACTACCTACACACATGCACACGCACACTTCTCCCAACTGGCAGGCACGATGACTGTTGAGGAAATCTACCAGGACCGCCAGAAATTCTCCACGGCGGTGTTTGAGGTGGCGTCGCGCGACCTCATCAACATGGGTGTCACCATCGTCTCATACACCCTCCAGTCCATCAGCGACGAAGTCGGGTGCGTCGTGCTCATATTGCGTGTGTTTGTGTGTATGTCTGTCTGTCTGTCTGTCTGTTTGTCTGTTTGTGTCTGTGTGTGTGTGTGCCGACTTGTAGCAACGGCGCCCTTGATCTGCTGCCGTGCTGCACATGTCATTCAGCGACTTCTCTATATTCACCTCCTTTCCTCCACACTCACTTTCTCACCCACAATCCAACCCCCCCCCCCTCCCCAGGTACCTGTCTGCGCTGGGTAAGGCCCAGACGGCGCAGGTGCAGCGCGATGCGCGCATTGGTCAGGCCGAGGCCCGCAGAGACGCTGGTCAGTACCCTTCGTATGACACCCCCATTGGCGTGGTGCCGGTGTGTCTGCGTGTGGCTGTCTGTGTGTCTATGTGTGCGTCTGTCTGCCTGCGTTTGCTCCTTCTTTTAGATGCTCAAGACTAGCTTCCCATACGTTTCTTTGCTTCATGCTGCACTCACGACCACGACCACCACCACCATCATTTCATCCGATCTCCTCGCCAGGCATCAGCGAGGCGCTTGCGATGCAGGCGAAGGAGGCCGCCCGCTACAAGAACCAGACGGCCATCGCAGAGTCTGAGGTGATGTCCCCCCCCCCCCAACCGTTGCATCCATCTGTTTGTTTGTTTGTTTTCTCTGTGTGGGGTGCTAGTGTTGTTGTTGTTGTTGTTGTTGTTGTTGTTCCTGTCGGTAGAAGTGGTGGTGATGGTGATTGGTGTGTAAGTGAATGAGTGGGTCTGTTTGCACACAGTGCAGGCGCCTTGCACTGCTCCAACACACACACATACACATACACATCGTGTGCATGTCAATCTGCCACTGCATATCCCTCGACTCATCGCTGGTTGTGTTCACCTGCCGTCCTCTCCTCTGTCACGCGTTACCACTGTTTGCGGGTCTACAGCGCGACTACAACCTGAAGCAGGCCGAGTACGACATCCAGGTCAAGACACAGCAGGCCACCGCCAACCTCGCAAAGGACCTCCAGGTGCGTCCACACGCGCGTATTCACGTGTACATGCATACGCTTGTGTGGAAGCTGTGTGTTTTGCGTTTGGACAAACGTTGCTTCTTTCACATGGCCAGCAACGTTTATTCTTCTCACACGTCGGTGCATGTGTGTGTGTGTGTGTGCGGCCAGGCTGCGAAAGTGCACCAGAAGATTCGCCACGAGGAAGTCGGGGTGAAGATCATCGAGCGCCAGAAGCAGATCAACGTCCGTGCCCAAAGACACCATACATTCATCTCGCTTCCATATCTGCTTCTGCTGGTCCACACCTTCACACACACATACACACCTTCACACACACACACACACACACCTTCACACACACACACATACACATACACACACACACACACACACTCTCTCTCTCTCTCTCTCTCTCTCTCTCTCTTTTCTCACCCTTGACGCTTGTCTGTGGTGCAGCTGATGGAGCAAGAGATTGTGCGTCGTGAGCGGGAGCTCGAGGCGCAGGTGCGCAAACCGGCAATTGCAGAGAAGTATCGGCAGGAGACGCTGGCTGAGGCCGAGAAGAACAGGATGATCCTCGAGGCAGAGGCAAAGGCCGAGGCCATTCGCGTACGTCTCTGCACTTGCTGTTACTGCTACTGGTCTTGGGAGAGGAGGGGGGTTGCTGCCGGGCTTGTGGTTCCACTGTGTGTCTGTTCGTGTCGGTCCATTGTCACCGCCTTTGAGATGCCCACTTGCTTTCCACGCGTCATCCTCACATGCGATTACGTCATGCCATCCACCACCGACACCACCATCAGGCGCGCGGCGAGGCGAATGCGTACTCGATCCAGGCGAAAGCGCAGGCCGAGGCCGAGGCGATGCAGAAGCAGGCCGAGGCGTTTGAGAAGTACGGATCCGCCGCCATGCTCGATATGGTCCTCAAGACGATGCCACGCGTCGCCGCAGAGGTACGTGTGTGTGTGTGTGTGTGTGTGTGTGTGTGTGTCTGTCTGTCTGTCCGTCTGTCCGTCTGTCTCTCTGTGTCTGTGTGTGTGTGTGTGTGTGTGTCTGTGTGTGTGTGTGCGTGCGTGTGTGTGTGTGTCTGTGTGCGGCTGTGTATTCACAGCTTCCCTCTGCATCGCCTCTCGTGCTCAATGCCGCGCCTCTAACCGCGTTCACTTGCTCACATCCATCCAATCCACATCCAACCAACCCTTGCTCCTCCTCCTCCTCCTCCTCCTTGCTCGTCGTCGTCGTCAGATTGCTGCGCCGCTTGCCTCTGTGGACAAGATCACGATGGTTGCTGGTCCCGACGGCGAGATTGGTGCCTCCAAGATCACGGGCGAGGTCCTCAACATCATGAACAAGCTCCCAGACACGATCAAGGGCATGACCGGCCTCGACATGGGAGACGTACGTGTCTGTATGTGTGTGTGTGACTGTCTGTCTGTGTGTGTGTGTGTGACTGTCTGTCTGTGTGTATGTGTGTGTATGTGTGTGTGACTGTGTGTGTGACTGTGTGTGTGTGTGTGTGTGTCTGTGTCTGTGTGTCTGTGTCTGTCTGTTTGTCTGTCGAAATGTTTGGTTGGTTGGTTGTTTTATTTTCTCTGCCTGTCTGTGTAGTGTGTGCGTCTGGGAGCCCCTCCGTCTTCTTCCCCGTGTTGTCAGCGTGCTTGCTCATTCATCTCATTTATTTCCACGCCAACTCACACATATGCATGTACTTCCCCCTTTCCATCCTCCGGCCAAACTTATGTCAACAGATCATCAAGGTGTCCCAGGTCTGAGCTGCTCCCACGCTCCGCCCACCCCCCCCCCAGCCTTTCCAGCCATTCCTTCATCCATATCATGTCACCCTGCTTTGTGTTCTGGTTCCGTTGCTTGCATGCCTGACACCCTCCCCCCAACACACACACACGCACACACACACACACACGCACATACACGCATTTTGTTTTGTCCACAATGCAGCTGTTGTGCTGCTGTACGCTTTCTTCTCTGTGCTGAAGCATCCCCAGCTTGCTTGCATGTAAGCTTGGCAGCTTTTTGCCGCCTGTCATTTTGTTGTTGTTGTGTTGCCTGAGCATAAAACGCTTTTCGCCGCGGAAATTGGGCGTCACAATCACGTCACATCACAACATCTCACACGTCCACGATGGTCGTGTCAAGGAAGGACTCAATGCATCACCAAGCAGCCTATCGCTCTGCGTGACGTGAGGATGTGATCGATCGAGTGTGGAAGTCGACATTCACGCATGAAATGTCAACAGTGGATAAGAACCACCCCTCTGTAACAGTAATCGGGAGGGGAGAGAGCCAAATACAAAGCAGCAACACGACACCAAAGGCACAGCCCCGCGCATCACAGTCGAGGAAAGGGTGCTGGTGTCTGTAGCCAGTTGTCTTCCGGGTAAGTCGTGTTCTTGGTCTCAATGACATGGAAGGTGTACGCGTGGCGTGACCGGTCGCTCCTGTTTGCGCTGCTGCGGTGCACAACCTGCGTGCAGCGAAGATGGCGATGAAGGAGGGAAGTTAGAGGAGGAGGTCAGCCACGCAGCCTCTGTCTCACACTCTCTCACTGACACTCAGACACACACACACACCCAGGCACACACACACACACACACACACACACACACACACACACACACACACACACACACACACCTGTAGTGGGATCCAGAAGCCCGTGGTTGAGAGCGGTTCTGTGTAGAGGAAGGTCGAGTCCTGGTGTGGCACAACCTCACCGCCAATGCCGGGCTGCTTGAAGATGTACATGGACTGCGGGATGGCTGGTTCCACGAGCCCAAGATCGTGCGCAATCGCCTGCCATCGTGTGTGTGTGTGTGTGTGTGAGTGTGTGTGTGTGTGTGTGTGTGTGTGAGTGTGTGTGTGTGTGTGTGTGTGTGTGTGTGTGTGTGTGTGTGTGGACTGGGCAGAGAGGGAGGGAGATCGCGAAAAGTCAACACACACAAATGAACAGACATGCACATGCACATGCACACACTTTGATGCGTGGGTCGAAGGTGTACTTTTTGAACACTGGGTTGAGGAAGTGGAGTGCTGTATTGGTTCCAGAGGAAGAGGTTGAGACATGACAGCTGTCAGCCAGACGAACAAAGGATCAAAGGAGACGCACACAAGAACACAAACATACACACACACAAGTCGACATGTGCAGACCGTGTTGTCAACAAGGCAGCTTACCGTGGCCAATCTTGTTGAAGGCGCGATCAATGTCCACAACGATGTTTCGCTGCTCGTCCACAGCACCCTCCTCGAAGAAGTAGCGGATTTTGTCGCCGCTTTCGAGGAAGTAGGCGTTCCCTTGCTGCTCAACAGACAAGCATGGCGGCGGGATGGGCGATGGGTTGCAGTGTCACTGGTAATGTGCAAGCACTGTGCAGAGGCACCACGAGCGCGGGACGCAAGCTCAAACATGCTCGACACTACACACACGACACACACGACACACGACACGTACGCTTGCTACATGTGCAAGTTACACATACACAGACACACAGAGCACACACACACACACCCGTCCGTTGACCTGATCGACAGTTGAGAAGGTGCTGAGATCCTCCTTTTGAGGGTCGTAAGAGCTGACAATGTCGGTGCAAGCAGCCCGCATGTCATCACAGGCTGCCTGATCAAAGAAGCCGTCAATCACCAAGTATCCGTTTGTGTCATGGAAGTTCGCCTGTTCAAACGAGACGCAGAGAGACAGAGCGTGAGTGGCAGAGAATGAAGGACACAGGGTGAGCGGCAGAGAATGAAGGACACAGGGTGAGTGGCAGAGGGTGCGGCACAGCCAAGCAAGGACAGAAAGCTAGCCACACATACACACACACACGCACGCACACACACACACACAGACACAACATCGCAGGATGCAAGTGCAAGCACCAGAACCATGCACGCCACACCTGCTCTTGTGTCAGGAAGCCC